GGTGCAGAACTACCCTCATAGGTGTGCTGTAGGTGCAGAACTACCCTTGTAGACGAGCTGTAGGTGCAGAACTACCCTTGTAGACATGCTGTAGGTAGAGAACTACCATCATAGACTCATTCTGTTAAAACTGGATTTTCCTGTCTATGTGTTGGCCCAGTCTCTTCTATTCCAGGCTTATCATCCCCATTTCTGTGACCTCACAGAAAACTATTTCTGTTTTAGGGGTGGCGGGATGTCCCACAAAAGACCCAAGGCTGTTTCCTTCTCACCCTTCATCACTGAATGGCAGTGGCAAGGGAAGGGTATCTGATAGACCCAGCCTAGAGGAGCCAGTAGGGGGCAGGGGGCACTCTCCCTGAGCCACACAGCCTGAGAAGGAAAGGCGGTCACCCCTGGGGGAACAGGGATGTATTTACACAGAAGAGAGGGAAAGAGATGCTGTGAGGGCAGGATCCAGATGTGTGCTGAGCCCTCCCCCCTCCATGTCATCTCCAGCCTTATGTCCTCCCGATGAGGTAAGTGGCTCTGGGCCACTGGCCTTCACAAGAACACTAGCCCTGCGGTACATTCATACATCTTGCCTGCAACTCCAGGCAAATGAGGGAACATTTGTTACACTGACACCAGAACCCAGGAGGAAGCCACGGGGATTGGCTACTGTTGCGTTCTGCAGTATTTCCCTCTGAAGCCTTTCAGTTGATATTTTAAAGTGAAGTGACCTTTTTAGGTAGAGAGCAGAAAGGCCTCACACTAAAGGGATGGATGAAGCACAGAGAGGTTTGGTAACTTGCCCATGGTCACAGAGCTGATGACAGCTGATGATAGGACCAAGATTTCCTCAAATATTAAAAAAGAAAAGTTCAGGGGACTGGAGAGCTGGCACCAAGATTAAGAGGGTTTGCTACTCTTCCAGAGGCACAAAATTCTCAACTATTTTTCTCAAAGAAAAATTTTGAGGAAAAAAAATATATGTAAGTGATTCGGGTCACTTCCAGATATAATTACTGTGCCAGCTGTGTTCATGGCAACAGTATGGGAGCCAGGAGAGCAAGGTCAAGCCTTGCGGTTTGTGTCCAAGGAAACAACTTGGCAGGAAGCTCCTAGACAATCCGCTGAGAGGCCTGTTACCACATTACCCTGTTACCATCCGTGTTACCATGGATTCTGGTAACATGCGGGCAGGCACTGGTTCAATGTCAGGTCTATGCCAGGGCTCCATTCCCAATAAGCTCCGAACAGTGTGCTGGCAATCCCACCCTAGTTTTGGGTGTTGAAGCAATGTCTCCCTGCTCTTAAGTTGGTCCTGATGGCCTTCCATGGCTGGCTTCCAGATTAGATACAAATACCCTCTGCTTGTGACTGAATGAATCCCAAGAGTGACCTGGAAAATAACCCGTGCACGCTGGCAGCTAATCACTGGGAGAGCTAACTCAACCACCAAGTGCCTCCCAAGCTCGCCCTCTACTGGTGAACCACGGTCGTTCTCTCCTGCACCCTCACCCTCACCTAGCGTTCCTGCACAGGCACCCCTCAGAAGAGCATGGCCTGTTCAAGGCTGTTATATTCCAGAGGTCAGACTTTAGCTCATTCCTCCACTCTGTTCCTTATGTACCGTGCTTCCCTCAAAGGGGGTGGCAAGGCTTCCTGTCTCTGCATCCTGAACATGGCATGCTGGTGGGGTGGGGGTATGGGGATGGCTTTTGTGAACCAGGGATAGGGAGGTAGAGTTGGTACATCCCAGAGAGAGCAGGGACAACAATGTCAGGAACCAGCTTCAACAAAAATGCCTCTTGCCAGGGTAGGGGCACGGGGATCAGGAAAATAGTAAAGAGGACGAAGGCGTGCATAAAAATAACACAGAAAACATAGGATAGTACCAGGAGGGCGTTCCAGTGAATACTGAAATTGCCCCTGTTTAATTTTCCTTACGCTTTTATACCCAATACAAAAGGGGGAGGAAGACAACGACAGACGTCTTTAACGTGATACAAAGGACAAAGGACAACTGGAACAGTTAATTGTTTCAACACTTTGAGACATCAAGTCATTAGCATTGTGTTGTTTAGGCAGTGAGGCCACCCTAGACCGAGTATCCTGAAGGCAGCCATTCCCCAGGTTAAACCTCTAGTTACAAAAGAAGGAGCAGAAGTATGCTTGCACATCCTGACCATCTGTCAGGGTGGAGTGGATCTACCTGTATGGGCCATTTTAATGTCAAAAGGACCAAGTAACCACATCCTGGGTCAGGATGTGTAGCCCTGGTTGTTGTCAACGATTTTGAGCAACCTCTAACTCTCTGACCATCAGACAAGGTGGAAATAGCCTCACAAATTTTGGGCTGCCACACAACAGGACAGTTTAGGAGATTCATGGAGAGGTGGGGAGGTTGAACTCACAAGGGGTCACCATTATCCGTTTGTTAGGACATTCTTTCTGTTTGTGAAAATTGGGACCGGAAGTAGAGTCTGTAAACCCTGCACACTGAGGTGGGAGTTCAACCCAGAAGGAAGCAGAGCAGCTACTGCTTTGCAGACTCTGCTGTGTGCCCAGCAGCGCACCTGCAGCGTTGCATTCAACCCTCCCAGCGGGCCTGTGGTCTCCTCACCATCCCCATGAGGTTCAAGATACAGAGATGGTGGGTGGGATTTCTGGCAAACGATCAAGTCATTTTACGAACAACGTGTTTTTATCTCTCATAGTTCTGCAGTTCGTTGGACTCTGCTGGGTGGGGGGTCCTCCCATGGTGTCCCCAGGATTGTAATAGTCAGCTACTGGGGGGGGGAAAGCTGGGCATGTGTTGGAAGCTGACTAGCCTGGCGCTTCTACTCATGTGGCCTCTCCTGGTGGCTAGCTGAGACTTCCTCACTATTTGGCAATGTCAGAGTAGGTGAACATCATAGAAAGTAGCTGGTAGATCAGACAGACATTGAGGTTTCTTATGGTAAAACTATATTTATCCCCAATGTTTGAGAATTAATTTCTTCACAATGTATTATCAGCAAATGTTTAATTTGCATGGCTCTTTTATATATTTGTATCATGGGGGTAGTGTAAAAATTACTCAGGCACAATGGGGCCTCAAGCGTGGAAAGTTTAGGATGATGATGCCCTTACCTCACCCTGAAAAGTAGGTAGTGTCCTTCCTACCCGCTTCCACTGCTCAAGAATCACAGGGCACAGACTCAAGGGCGCAGAAGGCTGGGCTCCACATCTCAAGGGAAGGGCAGCTTTTAGGTGAAAGGTGGCAGGGACGGATGAAGTCCACTTTGAACCTCGTTACACCAGACTCTGTTCCTAACAGCCTGACTCCAGTCGGTCCCTGCTTTCGGTCACTGTGTTCCTCCGACTCCGGGTAACACACACCCAGCACAGGTCATTCTTGGTGGCTGGAATAAGGTACCCTGGTGGCACGAAGAAGGAATTACCAGGTCAAGGAGACCTTTACATGCACGCACTTGCATGCACATACATATCACAAACATGCACTTGCACACATACACACAGACATATACACACAGTCATGCACATGATCACGTGCACACACACACACCCTTCCCCTGCGTGCAAAGGACTGACTGGGTGTACTGGGATGTTTATAACTGCTGAGTTATGTGGACAGAGCTCTGAGGCAGCAGGAGGCACTTGCTCTCGAAGTGAGAAGCCATGAGGTCCCATCTCTACTGCAACATGGTGCTGGGCACTTGAGGCACCAAGAGCCCCAGGAGTGGAAGGGCCCCCAGACCTTTCCTGGAATTCCAGCTGACCCAGCTATGCTCTGCTTCCTTGCCCCAGATTGGAGAGCCACACTTGGTGATCTGCATGGACTGCTCGGCAGACACCATGACCAACCGCCTCCTGCAGAGAAGCCAGAGCAGCCAGCGAGGGGAGGACACTGCGAGGACCATTGCCAAGCGCCTGGAGGCCTACCACCGAGCATCCATCCCTGTCATCACCTACTACGAGACAAAGACACAGCTACGGAAGGTGAGGCTCATATACAAATGGGCTGCACGCTCTTTCCTTCTCAGAGAAAGAAAGAAGAGGCACGCTTTCTTACGGGATCTGGGAAAGTTGCAGGTAGCCGCAGGAGTGGGAACAAAACAGGAGTTGCTTTCTTCCCTTGCTGTTGTCTCTCTCAAAGGTGAATAGATACGAACATAAGAGGGCGCCGACCATGGTGGTGCACGGTTTTAATCCCAGCACTCAGGAGGCGGGGTAGGCAGATCTCTGTGAATCTGGCCAGCCTGGTCTACAAGGCAAATTCCAGGCTAGCCAGGGTCATATACGGAAAACTTGTCAAAAAAAAAAAAAAGAGTATCTGATGTCAAATGGCCATAAGAAGTTGGTCATGAATCTGCAGCAGGTGCTGTTGTAGTTGCTGAAACTTCTTTTCCCGAAAGACAGACAGCAAGTGCGGGGCCTAAAGCATGAGCCTGTGATCCCAGCCACTGGCGAGGCTGAGACAGGAAGCTCTCACCTAACACTCATGAGGCCTGGGGAGCACTCATCTAACACTCATGAGGCCCGGGAAGTACTCACCTAACACGCATGAGGCCTGGGGAACACTCACCAAACACACATGAGGCCTGGGAGCACTCACCTAACACACATGAGGTCTTGGGAGCATTCACCTAACAGGTATGAGGCCTGGGGAGCACTCACCTAACATTCATGAGGCCCGGGGAGCACTCGCCTAACACGCATGAGGCCCGGGGAGCACTCGCCTAACACTCATGAGGTCTGGGTTCAATTTCCAGTACTGAAAAAAGAAAAAAGGGAAGGCAAGCTTAGGTGAGAGCTCCACCACTAACCGTAGGTGGTGCCCGACCTCAGGTGAACAGGACGATCAAGGGCAGGCCTGTTCCAGATCCTTTTGACACTTTTGGGTTCTGGAGTTCACACAGGGCTTGATTGGCACTTGACTCCTTGCACCAGCTTCTTCCAGAAACTGACTTGGGGAGAAAAAGCTCATGAGGCCAGGCCAGTCGGTGGGGCTATGATGGGAAGGGAGGGCTGGCACATGATGTCATACACGGGGCTTTGACGGGGAGGGAGGGCTGGCACATGACGTCATACACAGGGCTATGACGGGGAGGGAAGGCTGGCACATGACTTCATACACGGGGATCTGATGGGGAGGGAGGGCTGGCTCATGACGTCATACACGGGGATCTGATGGGGAGGGAGGGCTGGCACATGACGTCATGCAATGCAACAGTGCAGTCCACATGGCCACCATTAATATCACATACTTGGCACACTCCTCAGTCTCCGTCCTTTCCCAGATTCTAGCGCCTGTGTCTGGTCCAACCATATGGTGGTCTGATGTAGTGTGAACCTACAGCGCTTAGGGTTTTCGTAGGGGAGGCAGAGAGCACAGGGTGCAAGCTCAGAGTTACACGCAACAGTGTCTAGGGAAATCACCAAGAACCACGTGGAGTCAGTACAGGAAAAGGAACAGGGTGCATCCCAAAGGAGGGGCCACAAGGTCAGGAGGGCAGGTCACTCACTCGGTGGTGACATTAAGGGTCAAGGAGAGAGGTGCAGAAATGGGTGGAGGGGCGTGCGAGAATCTATCAAAAGGAGCCACTGTGGGGCTTCCTTCTGCAGTTCACTCCCCTGTCCTCCAGAGAAAGCCACAGAAGGTAAGATGCAGAGCAGCTAGCTACTGGGAGCTGAGGAAACACGGAAAGGGCACGAGGGTACTGTCTACTTCCCGCTGTCCCCAGGATGGCAGGCATCAGTCAGCTCCTAACAAACTGGTCTCTGAGGCTACATTATCGATTCTTGGGGTGAAACTATTGAGAGCGATTTTTTTTTTTTTAAAATTTAACTTAATTGTGTGCATGGGTGTGAAGGTGTCAGATTCCCTGGAACTGGAGTTACAAACAGTTGTGAGCTACCATGTGGGTGCTGGGAACTGAACCCAGGTCCTCTGGAAGAGCAGCCAGTGCTCTTAACTGCTGGGCCATCTCTCCACCCCAAGAGCAAATTCTTAATGTCCTAAACCTATCTATGCCCCCCCCTTTTTTTCCAGAATCCTACGCCCTTAGTAAGAAAGGCTGAAAAGAAAAGGTGCCTCTTCCGCAATCCAGGATGGTAAAATTCTGAAGTGTTTCCTGTAACCACTTGTTGCCATTAAACAAACAAGCAACAAAGATTTACTTACACCTTTAAGAAATAAACAGGCCGATGAGGTTCTAAGTGGGCAAAGGCGTTTGCCTCCATGCCTGAAGACATGAGTTCAGGTCCCAGGACCCACACACTAGAAGGAAATTCCCATAACACAACCCCATGAGTTGCCCGCCTCTGCTCTGCACACTGGCATGCATACACCCACCCCTGAATAAGATGAAAAAATTAGTAAAATAAACAAACATGAAGGTGTGCACATGTGAGGCTGAAGCTGGAAGCGAGTGCCTCCCTTAAGAGCTCTTGCTGCTCTTCCAGAGGACCTGAGTTTAAGTTCCAGCACCCACACCATGACACAACCATTTCTTAAAGAGTCCCGGGGAATCTGACACCCTCTTCTGTCCCCCAAGGGCATTGCATATACTTGGCGCACAGATATATATGCAGGTAATACAACCATATATACATAGGAATAAAAATAATTTAAAGAAATTCAGGGCTGCAAGAACCTTTGTAAGGCTAAATCCCCTAGGAAGCTTCCCCACTTGGTGCTGCCTGGAACAGCCGAGGAATTCTCCAGGTAGAAGGGAACTTCTTCCACTTCAGTCTGAGACTGGGGAAGGCCAGACAGAATTCAGTTTATCGCTTTCAGGATCAGGAAATCCCCCCACCTCTGTGTTCCTTCCTCTCTGTCTTGAATTATCTGAATCTAAGCCTGAAGACTCCCAGATGAATGGCTCGTTGACACCGAACTAATACAGTTCTCAGAGAAACCTGGGTTCTGCAGTCCTTACAATTCCATGTTTCTCTAAGACATCAGGTTCTCAGGCCTCTGGCTCCTCTCTCACGCTTCCCCTTATTGGGGATGCGGGCATCTGGATCCAGAGAAGTAATATTTATCATCGACTTTCAGTATTGAAAACGGACACCAGGGAACAGAGGGGAGACACCGCTGGGCTCCACTGCCTTGCCCGGTCCTCTGAATACACAGCTGCTGCCAGATCAGATCTCATAGCACACTCCATGCCTAAGGTGTAGGAGTAACATGGGAATGACACATGGCTTCTGCTTCCTGTCTTAGGATGCAGAAGGGGACCACACCGCAGCTTCCTCCCTTCCAGCTGGGCTCTGCAGGCAGCTGCCACCAATCACCATGCTCTACCTGGGATGTGCAGGCCTCAGGGCAGAGCCCCACAGACGGATAAGCTAGTCCAAGGCAGGGAAGCTGGTCCGCAGTGGGTGAATTAGCTACTAAGTCAGTAGCTGGAAACAAAGCACTTGTGAAAAGTGCCAGCACTGACCAAACAGTGCTGGAAACGCTTGCCTGGGTGCTGGAAAGTCCCGGCCAGACTTGGGAACCTGGGTGAGTGAGTCGTCCTCCTTATGGGTCTTTCTGATGTAAAGAGCTGGCAGCAGCTGTGGGAATTCTTCCAGCTGTTAGTTTATGATTCTTAGTGGAGAAGCTTTCCCCTCTGGTTTTAATCATGCTCATTTTTTAAAAATATAGAAAACCCATTTCTGAGTCGCACCACCCAATGAGGGTGAACACTCTAGAGCACTGACTGCAGAGAACATAGCCTAGACCCGTCGGCGGGTGGTCACAGAGCATGGCCTAGACCGGTCGGCGGGCATGGTCACAGAACATAGCCTGGGCATGGCGGTGGGCGTGGTCACAGGCAGTGGGCTAGGCAGACAGCATAGGAAGTGATGGGGCAGACACTAACTCTAGTCCACTCTGACACTGGCTTGGTTCCTGAAGCCCACATCACCAAGACATGAAAAGGAAAGATGCAGCTCAGAAAACCATCAGCTTCACGATAACACATTTCATCCACAGACAGAGCCAAGAGAGAGAACAAAAGAAACAGGCAGCCACCAAGGTCACCCTCCTCACTTCCCAGCACTAGCTCTGATCAAAAACAAAACAAACAACAACAACAAAAAAAAAACAAACAAAAAAAATATGACGTCGTCTATAGTGATCAGGACATCCCTCACCGTGGGGCTCCTATCAAGTTTCCGAGCCTTATAGGCAGACCCATCATTGGAGAGGAACCTGCTCACCTGGTGTTCCACTACACACCACGACATCACAGTTTAACTGCAGGCTCAGCACTGGAGTCTTGCGGTGAAGTGGATCATGAAATTCCTTTTGACTGAGAACAGTGAGTTGCTGCAGCCATGGGGACCATGTGCAATGTGGTGGAGGCTGCCAGTCTCATGTCTACTAATCCCATAAATCCTTTTCTGCCCTCAGAGGACAAGGAACTCGGGCATCTTCTTAGCTTACTGTTTAAATGTGCTATATCTGGAAGCACCAAAATTAACTAAGAATGCTGAAGCCCGGGGCACTCAGGAGGGTATGGTTCAAGGCCAGCCTCAGATGCACAGCAAGTTCAAGGTCAACTTGGGCATGTGACTCCTTGTTTCAAAACAAAACACCCCACAAAATGTGGCTCTACACATGTAAGTTGGTCTGCCTCATTCCTGTGCAGTTAGCTATACAGAAATAGAAGAGCCCCTTATATTTCATCTAAATTACTCCATGGGAACTGAGATGAACAGGCAGAGGGAAGTGTGGAAGGAACCCGGCAAGGACCGGGGAGAAATGGAGAGGACAGAGGCTCTAGGTCAACCCCATTGCTCAGGCTTCCTTCCCTGCTCCGTAACTCCACTGCGGCAATCCACCTTATCACAGACACCCTTGCCTGCCAATAGAAAACAGAGGCTGCCTGTGTGCCTGTAGACTGCACTCAGGACTGCCTCACTAGCCTAATGAGGCTGGCTGACTGTGAATGTGTTTCCCTCTCACCACAGCCAAAAGCCACTTTCTATTGGGAAAGCCTGTTTCTTTCGTTTTTAAACTTTCAGACATTCAGACTTCACAGAAGCGAAGACCACAGCATGAGTCTCTGGGGAAGAGTTTCCATAGCTAGATAGATAGACAGATAGACAGCGATAGAGGATACATGGATGGATGGATGGATGGATGGACGGACGGACGGACGGACGGACGGACGGACGGACAGACGGACAGATGGACAGGTAGGTATGTAGGTACGTAGGTAGGTAGGCAGACAGAAAAAAATCCAATCCTTGTATTTAAACCATGTTGTAATATGAAGGCCATACACAGAAGCTAGCACCGCCTCCCACCCGCAGCTCAAGTCTGATTGGCCAGGAATTCCCAAGCATTGTCCTTCAAAGCAGGTACTCAGTGGCTTTCTGTGTGGAAAGAGATCACCTGTTTCCATGAGAGCATCCCTTAGCCCCACTGAAGCCCAGGATCTCCCACCAGGAACAGACTGCCCCCACAGCCTGTGTGGGAGGAAGGGGAAACATGCCACTCAAGCGAGTCACGCTCTTCCGGCCAGCTGCTCTGTGGAGCCCACCTGCCAGACTCTGGAGATAACAGTGCTGAGAGACGCTCTTGTCCTCAGGCGCAACTGACCAACTGGATAATGAAGATTCTCTGGCTCAAATTTTGGTCAAGCTCTAGAACTTTCCAAGCCCATCTGTAGGTTTCATATATAAATCAGTTTTAGCAGAGACTGCTAAATCGGCACTACCCCATGCCCATCATCTCCTGGAGGGTGTACCTGTCTGTGACATCCTATGGGAAACTGGCCTTGAGCTCCTGGCCTTCCTGCCTCTGCCTCGCCAGTGCTAAGACTATAACCACAGCCCACCACAGCTGGCTTTCCCCGGCTTGTCTACGGCAGGAACCGTTAGGTGGGTTAACTAGCAAACATCCCTTGCTAGTGTTTGCTGCCACTTGGTAATATCCTTACCGGCCTCCACTTTGCTTCTTGCCTGTAAATTCCCACTTGTTGAGGCTTTATTCAGACTTGACCTACCTACCGACCTTCTGCAAGATCCCATTGTCAGGAGCCCTACAGCTATCCCACCGGCCCTGAACAAACACGGGCATAGTAGTAGACACCTGCATTCCAGCACTTGGTTGCTGCAGGAACACAGAGGTAGTATGCACCCCATACTCATCTGTACACCATTTTTTTTTAAGACAGATGCCTGATGGTAAACACTTTTAATCCCGTCACACAGTGAGGTAGAGGCCAGTCTGGTCTACATAGTGAGTTTCAGCCTAAGTTGACATAGTGAGACCCTGTCTCAAAAAACAAAAACAAAACAAAACAAAAAAAAACCCAAAAAATCCAAATACAGAGCATCCAAGCAAAGCCCAGTTTGCTCAGCTTTAGTTCACGCCCATGTCATATCAGAAACAAGTCCAAGCGCCCAGGTGCTTAGTCAAAGCCCTGAGGTGTGCTGGGGACAGCACTTGGGTATACGATTAGGTACTGTCGTTGCTAGTGCAGGGCTCTGCTTTACTTCAGGGGTTGTCAGTTCTTTGCAAAATTTTACCACCTACATCTGTGTTCTTCAGGAACCTTTGTCTCTACATTTCTTTGTAGCTCACTCTCCACCTCCCACTCCACCATCATTCCTTGACCCATGTCCAACCATTCAGCCATGACTGCTGGGCAGTGGTGGTGCACACCTTTAATCTCAGCACTCGGGAGATAGAGACAAGCGGATCTCTGTGAGTTCACGGTCAGCCTGGTCCACAGAGGGAGTTCCCTGACAGGCTCCAAAGCTACAGGGAAACCATCTTGAAAAAACAAATAATAACAAACTATGTGATAAATAATGGTGTCGTTGACAAGTATCAAACTTTAGTTTTGTGGTCTGATCCTTGGCTTGGGCGACATGAGTCATCTTTCAGTCACCTGTCCTTCATTACTTCAACACCACACGTGACATGACTAGCCACCTTTATCATTCTCAGAGTGTGTCTCTGCTCTTCCAGGACTGTGCAAGACGTCCCTAATCCACAGCCCCTCGCCTGCCTCCTAACAGTGTGAACTCCTGCTGGACTTAGCTGCCAACGAGTGCCGTGCCCTTGCACAACTGCACTGTTGTCTCTTGGCTTGGTCCCTCAGTGTGGACTCTGCTGGCACTGAGACAGAGGAAGCCAGGTGCTGTGAGGGACCTAAGAACAGAGGTGATAACCCCTGGTACAAAACACTTCAGCTGAGGGTCCTAAAGGGACTTTTAAAATACGTGCACTTTGAATAGTAAAACAAACATTCCCATAACCACCGAACAGGCCAGCAAACACAAGCCCCACCCCAACGCCCCACTGTCTCCTTGGGTCCCATTCTTCTCTATGAGAACCAACCATAGTCTCTGGCTCTCATGAGTCATCTATCTTTATGATTTGATCACCTATGTAGAGATCAATATAACTTAGGTTTGTTTCTGGTCATGTGTGTATAAACTTAATGTGGATCTCCGTTATTCCAGCACTTCAGGGCTGGAGGCATGGAGGCAGGAATCCTGTTACATAAGGAGTTTGAGGCCAGCCTGGAATACATGATACTTTGTCTCAAAAAAATAAAAGTGGAAAAGAGAAATGAAATCTAATACATATAAATATTTCTAGATATGCTTTTGGGAATGTTTAAACATGTAAAAATTGATTCCTGGTTGCAAATTGAAGCTACTGTGGGGAGGTAACAAGAGTTAAAAAAATTGTTCCTCAAAGTTACCTCAAACAGCCCTAAGCTCTCAAGAAAATTGTGCCCTTGGCATCCATGTTACCTGTATATTGCTGTATATTCTACAATATTCAAGTGTGGGATCAAAAGATTGGTAAAGAAAATGTAGCTTATCCAAGCATAAAAGGAACATCACTTGTATCCAGGGAAATGTAAGAAGTGTACAGCAGGTTAACTACATGCTCAGAAAAAGCAAACATTGCATGTTTTCTCTTGTATGCAGAATCAAGATTCTAAAAATAAAACATTAAAAAGGGGGCCTTTTTGGAAGACAGAGAGGCAGTGGGAGACAGGATGAAAGACTGAAGAGCTATCTGTGATTGAGGGATGCTGTGTGCAATTATGAAGACATCATGGTAAAACCCACTATTTAGTACAATTAGCAGATGGTAAAATCATCTGAAAACGTGCCGACTGTGCACAGAGTCTCTGGCAAGGAACCAGATACTCTTCAGAGCCTGGGCATCACGGGCTGGATACTCTAAAGAGCCAGGGTAGCACGGGCTGGATACTCTAAAGAGCCAGGGTAGCACGGGATACTTCAGTCAGTTCTTAGACCACCAGGCCTCTGCCTCCCTCTGCCCAATACTTTCCCCACTTGTTAGCATTTGGATGGACCTCCATAGCTGGTGGCTTCAAGCCCTCAGGACAGCCTCCCCCCTGCCCATTGCAGGACACCACTGGTGACCACGGCTCCAGTCACCCATCTGCTCACTGACCTATGTGTATGCAGTTTTACTAGAAACTGTGTAGGAACTCAGTTCCTTTTTAAGTGGTAATTGCCCATCAACTCTCCTAAGCAAGCAGGGCCTGCGAGGTCTAAGGCATGCTACCAGCATCTCTCTGGCCTCCGCAGAGCTTCTGGGGCCAGGCCCTGCCTTCTGAAGAGGAGCTTTATGTTCACTCTCTGCAGCGGCTGGCTGGGTGTCCAGTAAGCCACCCCTCCTGCTCCATCTGCTGCTGGCTCCCTATACGGGTGAATCATCTATCTCCGACAACTCTGCCCCAATATCTGCACATTGTGGGCCTGGTCTCTGCTTCTCCAGACCCCTGCTCCTGAGCCCTCTAGTCTAGGCTACACTCCCACCGTGATCTAAGGGCTCTCACGGCAACACCCACGTGTCCCTTGATTTCTAACAATACTCAGAGCACGGCCCTCAGTTTGCTGTTTGGATGAACTTTCTGCTTTAGAGCATTTAGGTCAGATAAACTTATGAGTTCTCAGATACCCCATCCTCAAATACACTCAACGGTCATTCATTTGTCACAGTAGATGAACCTGTACTTGTCACCCAGAGGCAATGACTGACATCAACACCTTCGTGTTGTACACTGTATGTTTGGACAAGCCTGCAATGTGAAGCAACTACACTCAGATCCTCCCACTCGACCCTCACCACCCTCTGCACTGCCACGGCCTGACTATACAGCACGTGCCCCTTGCTGACTGGCTTCTGCCACTTAGTAATGTGCATGGAAATCTCGTTCGTATTAGTCTGAAGTGACCTCCACTATTACTTGCCTGTGTAAATGCTAAGAGACATCTTGGTACCTTTCAAGTTTTGTCTATCACGAAAGAAGCTGCTGTAAACACGCACAGGCAGGTTTGGGGTATCCGAGTTCCATGTGGAATAAAACTGCCGGGGCCTCACAAGTGGCCATGCCATTTCCCACTCATCTAGAGTTCTGCCTGTTTCACATTCCAGCAGCATTGGGTGGCATCGGCCTTGGGCTTTGAGGCATGCAAATAAGTGTGTAGCGCTGCTCTTCCATCTTAGTCTAGAGAGGTTAATTCTATTTATTGGGTCTCACTATGTAGCCTTGGCAGGCCTACAACTGGGTATGTGGACCAGGCTGGTCTTGGACTCAGAGAGCCACCCTCCTCTCCGTTCTTAGTGCTGTGACTAAATGTGAGTCACTCCAAAGGGACTTGCTTTTGAAGCCTTCGTTTCTCACTCTAGCCTCTGTGGGTGCGGGTGGGGAGCGGTGAACAGGACGACACAATGTTTTAAGTTTGCTGAGCAGAAGCAGGTAATCTTGTTTCATTATCTTAAAAAATGACATCTACAAGCAGGCCAGGGGGTCAATAACTCTCTCTTCCTTTCAAACACAGGTAAACGCAGAGGGAACACCAGATCAAGTTTTTCTTCGGCTCTGCGCAGCTATTGACTCTGTATTCTGAAGGAGAAAACGCATAACTGCTAAGGAAAGCAGAGACAGAAAAACATGAAATTTGTCCCCTAATTAACACGTTTCCCTTTGCCCCCCCTCCCTATCCTAGCAGGCTGTTTCCTTCCCAGCCCGACTTACGTAAGAGATATCTGGAAGCCATGCATGGTATCTTTGGGACTGCCCACTTTCCCTCCTGTAGACAGCTGTCCTCTCTGGTACATGTTTTTCTGTCACCGGGCTGTACTGCAGAGCAAAGTCAGGATAGGAAGAGCAGTGTGGGATCCGCCTGTGCTGTTTGTGTCCCGGGGCGGATGGAGTCCGACCCATCCCACAGGGAGAACGCATCCCTAATTCTCCATCACAGCTTCCTTCCCACCCATTTCTTTCCTCCCTGAAGTGGGTACTTCCTTAGCATGGGGCAAGCCCGGACACGTCATCCTGCACTGGCTCTGGTGGGAACTTTAACTGCCCTGTGGAACACAGAGGCACCAAGTCAGCAGTACTTGACAGAAATGTTTCAAAATAAGACATTGTCCAGCTTCTCTAAGGGAGCCAAAAGGGCAGTCAGCACTATCCATTTTTGAGAACCCAGCTACATGGAATCTGAGCAACTGTACCAGCTACTCTGTGTGTGGTGCGGTACGTCTCAGCATCAGAGACTGGAAGTAATTTAAAAGTACGAGAGATGATTACTACTTCACTCACTGGACAAAACCATCTTGCAGTTCTGATATGAGATGATTACTCCCTGACATACTGCCCAAGTAAAGAGAAAGGAACAGTACCCTAAGCGACGCCGGGGGACAGGCTAGTGCGTGGGTGTCTTGCAGCTATTGTGTTTGTTTCATGGGCCTGCTCCATGGGTAAATACTTGCACCACACCAGAGAGGCGTGGGTCTTTGTGCGGAGCTGTTGAACTGGAGCTGCTTCTGTCTTCTGAAATACCTGCGTCTTGCGCTCAGTCACCACACAACACACAGTTCGGTTTGCATGATTCTTTTCCTCAGTGAGAGTGCAAATACAGATGTTTCCAGGACAGAACTGTATTTTTAAAATCATTTTTTCCCTCAAAACAGTTATGTACAAATGAAATAAATGGAAACCAGCAAAACTCTTTCTCTATTTATTTGTAACTCACATCGTTCTGGAAAGCCTTTGACAGCTTTCATTCCAAACAGAAGCAAACATAGTAATAGTTTAAAATTATGATCTACTTATATGGTTTGAACTTTGGCCACAGACCAGATCTGAGCTATTACAGAAAAATTGTGAATGTATTCATGATACATGGTCATTTTCATATTTCTTTTTCTCTAGCACTGGCTCCTAAACAGAAATGCCAGTGTGTGCTAGACAAGAAAGTGAGTTTCTTTGGTTACAATCAGGTCTCTATTACCAGAAAGGGTGCATCATGTTCCCAAATCCACACAGCTGTGAACGCTTACACTCTCCCAGGCTGTCACTCATGACAGGGGACATGGACATCTGAGCAAAGATGCCAAGTGCTGCTCAAGGATCAAAGCTTAAACAAGCAACTCTAGGGACTAACAGTCTCCAAACACAACACACACACTGGCAAACACCACACCACACCACAGCTCTGGATGAGGAAATGAGGAAGCAGACACGCAGGGAGACCAGCCCGCGGTTCCCTCAGGTGGCAGCTACTTCAACAGAAATCAGTACCTGGGAATGAAAATCAGTCTTCTAAAGAACAGCTAAAATGTACATTGCTCTTGTGAGTGGCTTCCAACAACATCACTATTTCTTCATAGCACGGTTGTACATGTATGTGGATAACATCACAACACAAATGTCAACTCCCTGGCTATGACCTACACTCAAGACCACACCTGAACTGGTCTGTGCCCTCCCTGACACCATCAGCCGGACCCTCCCTCTCACACATTTGCTCAAGCCACAGTGCCTGCCTTCAAAGCTGCCCAAGCAAACCAAGTTCTTTGCTGGCTCTGGGCCCTGACCACTGGCATCCTTTTGCCTTTTCCTACAGCTGATCCACACAGCTAGTTCCCACACTTCAAATTAATTACCCTTGCCACTGAGGGTTTCTCAACCTAAGGTTGCTCTTCACACTGATATTTTTCTTTTATTTAACTAAGGGCTATTTAAGTTTATTTGAACATTGTTGTCTTCTGTGCTGGTCTATAAGCTCCACAGAGGCCTGGAGTTTCTATCACAGTTCCCAACACATCTGTTACTACTGAGAAATAGCATGTTATAAGTTTCAGTGCCTTTCATTTCCCCATTACATGCCGTTAGTACAAATCAGTAACTAGTTCCTAGAACTCAATCAAAGGTACTCCACTTTCCCAGCTGTGACTAGAACCCAAAATGTCACAGCAAGCATGACAGCCACACCCACGGATGATCTGACTGGTTAAGCTGGATGCAGAGGCTGGTCCTCTAGGGCAGGTCAAGGGACCTCTGAGAGTTACTGGCACCTCATGTACTGAGCCCCACTACCTCTAAAGAAAAAAAAGGTTTAACTTAGCAAAACACTGGGTCGTATAACCAACAATTACTGTAGAGAATCTGCTAAATTGTCAAAGCCTAGAGACACAGACATGGACTGTGTTCTCAAGAAGCTCAATGTGACACAACTCTCAGAAATCAATCCATTTAACAGATACATACTCCCTGTAAGCAAAGCAGTGGGCTTTGGTTTCCTCTGGGATCATATAAATAGCAGTTACTAACTCTGTCACTGAAAACCAGAACTGTGTAGGCTTAAAAGGACAATGCCTGGAGATGCTCACTTCCCCCAGGGCACCCAGAACCATGGGTTTAAACGTGTTATCCATAGTAAGAAAGTTCATTTATCGTATCTCACATGGCCGTAAGGGAAACATCACAACACAAGGCTGGTCTGGTACAGCAGGTCACTTTCTGTCACCTTGAAATACTATTCTCATACCTCAGTCAGCTGTGTCCTGGGATCTAAGTGAAGGGAGGGAGAGAGGAGTCAGGACACCACGGTCAGGTGGGAGCAATGGAGATGCATGCGTGTTCCTGCGAGTCACAGCACTGGGCACTCTGGGGCACCTCCAGACACTCACAGGTCTCTCTCCTGTGTCAGGAATGTGGCCATGGGACCAGGTTTGTACTCTAGCAATGCACAAAGGTATCAAAAACACACCGAGTACACGGAGTACCTGATACTGGGGGTGTTCCTGCTTAGGAGACCAAGCCTAACGCAGACAAATCGTAAGGGCAGGTCTCATTACTACACTAACAATAATGCCTCGAGGCATGTTTCTTTCTGGCTAGGTCTCCCATGAAAACAGGGTAATAAATTAATCTGCCTCATTGGCTTGAGAACCCAGTGAGCTGCCTGCCACATGCTTGCTTTGTGCTCTGTAAGGACTGTCTCGGCATTTGCTATTGGTGCCTCTCCCTGAAGGAAGCATCCTCTCCCCAACATCAGCTTTGGTGTATTGGCAGCAAACAACTTGAGCATCATAAGCCACAAGATAAATCTGACCTACTAAGACACTTCACAACAAGCACAGCGGTCAGCAGCCAGTATTCCTTGCAGACAGATGAAAGGTCCACACACAAAGAAAAGCACTGCCCACTCTGCAATCCTCCAATAAAATTACAAGAAAACATTCCCACCAAGTCATAGGGATGATGTGCTTAGAGCTGAAAAATTCAAAATAAATCCATCTTCTGTTCAAACAGGAAAAACCCACATCACGACCTCCGCCTAAAACCTTCGCCTTTGAGAAAGCGTTCAAGTGTTTGTCCACTCTTGATGTCACTACAGCTGCACCGCTCACATCCCCTTCCAAGGTGTACTTCAAGCTTCATGGGATTTGTGGATGGATGGGAACTGCTCTCAGAACTATCTGGTACTATTATTTCTATACAGCCAGCTGTGCCTGTCCTGTATGTTTACAGATGGAAGGCAGCCCTCTGGCTGTGTGCTGAGCATTTACTATAGAGACACCTAGTGTAGCTGTCTCTCCTTCACAATAGACTGCATCAATATGACCAGTGATACATTATCAATATATTATTTAAAATTCTCATTTCCATATTTAAAATTCTATTTTTCTTACTTAAAAATTTCAGGGTAGATTTTAATACTTTGCTAAGTATTGAAAAGAATTAGTAAATAATGTTCCCTGACCTTAAAAACAGGAAAAACAAACAAGGTTAAAAACAAGACTAGTATAATACTTAATCCACCATAGAACATACTATCTTTTCCTGGTTGATAACTGTTGGAAATCACCTGTTTCTGTACAGGAAACTTGACTTTGACAGGACAGAACTGCTCGAGCGAACCCTGTGTGGACGTTAGTGAGCGCCCTGCTGTGCAGTGTGCAGCACACTGCAGACACTAGCACCCCCAGCAGGAGGCAAGCTCACGCTCCCTCTTTACCCTTTGTAGAGAACAGAAAGTGCCACAGATGGAACAGGCTTTCAAGTGATGAATTCTAGCTAACACTTGCTGAAAGGAAGCCACGACGAGCATTCTATAATAGAAACAACATGTCCACATAGTTTATTTCTCACAGTTATCCCGACAAGTGAACATTTCAAGAACGTACTGCAGACAGATAAGAAACGTACAAAATGTTTTAAATGATGCACAACGAAATCCAGCAGTATAAAAGAATGCTTGTGAACGCTTGCTCACTGTGCAGACTACATTTAATCACTCATTAAATAGTAATAAAAATACAATCTTTTATGGATCTTGTGCATACTACAAAAGAGGGAAAAATGATCACCATATATATGATTTTTATATTAGGCAGTTTTCTTTGACGAGTTGTACGGACAACTCCGAATACAGAGGCAGAAGGCTGTGTATCTCAAGGGATGAACGCTGTGACTCAGACTTTACACAGTCTACCACTGGCACTCTTCACCACAGTCTGTACACATCACATGATCATCTTTATAACATGACTTTAAAAATAGATCTGCGTGACAACTTTACGACATTCACACCCGTGAGCTGGCTACGGAAGCAAAGCACAGCCACCTCATGCTTTGCTCTTGGTAAGGACAGTTCATCGTGATTAAAAGTTAGGTATCAGACCGTTAAGCAGCTCCAGTCTACTAAAGGCCATCAGTGACCACCGGACAGAGTTCTTTTAGAGTACACATCCTAGAAGCAAACACCAGCATTGGTTAGAACTTCGTCTATGAGTCAGTTTCTGCGCTGAAAACTATTTTCACAAAACTGAAAGCCACTAAACTGATTTAATATAAATACCTTGTCTTCCATCACCACACTTATGACCGAGGTCTTTGAAACCTTTGGGATTTACTCTCGCGTTAACGCGTGCTCTCATCTCGCCCATCTCAGATCACCACCTACAAGGCTTTACGGTGGTGGTGGAATCTCACCAGGAAAACGCTCAGCTCACCAGGAATGTTCAGCTGCTGATCTACAGCCACACGGTGCAGAGCTGCACTTGATGAGAACACTCGGGGAGCTCTCATGCTGTGAGTGTCCACACTGCGCACACCTTCCACAATGCCGCCATTGCTGTGTGCTGACGAGAACTAGTGCCGACACCCTCTTCCACGTCATCTGTTGGCTGGGAAGTAGTTGGGGTCAAGATAACTGTAACTAGTGCCCTGGGACACACAGTAGTCTCTGTCTAAGAACGTCTCTGACTTATAAACAGGCTCTAACTGGTGATCATCCTTGTGAACATCTGTTTCATGTGGGCTGCAAGGAGAAAACACAGAGAGACTCATCATCACACGACTCCAGATGTGTCTCCATCCACCCACCACAGAATCTTCTCAGTTAGACTGACCCCTTGGAAAGCTCTAATAGGAAACTGCTGGAAAGCTGATGCGCGACGGGATTTAAGGAAAATTTTAGGTGCTTAGAGTAAAATCTAATACATGAAATCATTGTTACACAAGAAGTTTGGGAATAAAGTTTGAGGTTTCTGTCCCCAGAACAAAGGAAACACTTACCAGTCTGAACACGAGTCACAGAAATCCAGAGACATCTCTGGAGGACAGTCCTGGCAGTGCCAGCGGACACCCTGGATAGGCTCGGCACCACAGTTGTCACACTGCAACAGACAGACAGGCAGAGCACTTG